GGTTCCAGTTTGCGTGCTTCAAGGGTGCTTTTGGACATCACTGCAGTAGACACCCAAAAAGTATAAAGGCCCCAGGCACAGGAAAACATGGCATTTCAAGCGACTTCTTAAAGCAAAGCCAGCTCCTTTAAGTTCTTTAAGAACCCCGGCTTCAGACCCAGGGCCTCCCCAAATTCCGCTGCCCCACCTAGGTCGGATCCTGGGGCCTCAGGCCGCTCAGTGCGCTGTAGCACGTGTGGAACTTCATCTGTCCGTTGTTCTGCGTCGTGGCCCCATAGGTATGAAACCCGCCGCCTCAGCCAAAACTACGGCGTCTCGACCCGAGTTTGGAATTTCGGGACAATGCTCCCGATTCCTATCCAACCAATACGAACGCACACTGTCTGATCCGGTTTCAACACAGGATACAAGCCTCCTGCTCAAAAACAATAGCCGCATTGCAGATGAACGGCCCGGCTACCCATATATCTTCATAGATTTGGCTTGCGGGAGCGAAGCCAGCATACTATACTTCATACATTTTCATACACCCAGCAAAGCAAAGAAAGGCCAAGGCTGGATCACGCTTCTTTGAGGTTGGAATGAAGGGGCTATTATAAGCACCTGTTGGGGGCTCTCTGTTGCGATATTTTCTGAAGGGCTTCAGGCCGACACGTCGCCGACCAGGTTTTCAATTAGCACGTCAGAGCCGGAGACCGGTTTCTGCTTTGGGTTTGCTGCTGCCGACCTGTTTCTGCTCAAAGGTTTCAAACTAACCGGTGTCTGCTTCGGCTTCCGTGGCGCTGTCGCGTTGCCGGCCGGTTTCTGAGAGGAGGTTCAGGTTGACAGGGTTGACATGTCACCGGCCAATTTCAAATCAAGGTTTCAAACGAACAGGTCCCAGGCCAGGGAGCCGGAAAGCCAGCCAGAAATCTTGCACTCTGGGAAGGTGGCCAGCCGGCAAGCAAGTAAGCAAGCAACCCACCAAACAAGAGAACCCAAGACTAGAACAAACCAGGACGGGAAGGGAAGGTAGGGACAATCGGATTTCAGCGCAAAGGCTTTCTGCTCTGAAAATCCTTTTCAGTAGGAACCATCCTTCTGGGCGGTGCTGATTAGCTGTAAAAGTTTCAAATCCATTCATTTCCTCAGTATTGTTGGCATGGAAAATGTTCAAGAGGAACTTCCTGATAATGTTTTTTGTGGACGCACTACATTTTAGCATTGCTTACTACGGGTGTTGACTTACCACAACTCCCAAAGAATCCTTGTAGAACGCCAAGGCTTCCCAAAGCATCAATTTCACTACCAATTTTAAAAAACACCGGAGAAATTGTTTCAAGCTCGAGGATTGCTGCGCTACACGAAAAGATCGTACCCAGCGCGGTCCCAGGGCTAAAAGAAAAAGATCAAGCGTAAAAAAGGTCTTGCAAGGTCAATCAAATTGTGGCCAAACTCGGGTCCTAAAAACCACCCGTGGAAATCCTGCGCACGGGAGGAAGCTGTTCACCACAATAGCCATCCACAGCCACGTGGGGACTATCCAAGAAATATCCAAGAAAGCACGCTACCAAGTGCGCACGCCATTCAGCAGCAAGACAGCCTTTTTGAACGTAATTATTTAGCCAGAAATTACTTTCTTCACGTGATCCTCACCCTGACACACTATATATTCTGACATAGTTTCTGACATAGTTTCTGACACACCATCTGGAAGTAAATATGGCGTGTATAAGAGAAACAAGGGGAAAAACAACCAAACACCGTTATTAAACTCCCTTGCCTCAAGAATCATGCAAACGCCCCTTTTTACGGTGGGGCGCTTGAGCCAGGTAATTACGGTAGACTACTATGACCAACCCTGCTGGTTAAAAGGAGGGGGTCAATTCCTACTCTATTACATGGCTACACCTACAACTAACGCATCTAGTTGGAGGTTGCGTTGTGATTAAGATGACTGTACAATCTACTGGAATGTTGGTCTAATAGCTACAGCAAGGAGTGAACTAATACTAGTATATACAGTGGTGGTATAGGGGTCGTAATATTTCTACTCCCCCCTACCCTTGTACAGGTTAGGGCGCTAGGTAGCAGCCCCTTCCCTGGGTTTGAGTTCACTACCTAGATCTACGCGGATGCCAAGCAAGCGCAGTGCTGGGGCCCACTTTTGGGGTGGCAACGCCTTAGTAAAAATGTCTGCAGCTTGACTGTCTGTCTGACAGTATTCAAGCTCGGCGGAATCGTCCCGAAAGACTTCTGAAAGGCCGGACAGATTTACCTTATGGGTGCGAGTGATATGCCTCAGGGGAATAACCTTTACGTACTACCAGGATGGTAGCTTGGTTATCTTCTAAAACTTTAAGCGTCACTGTGCGCCCTAGGAGAAGCTCCCAGAGTTGCAGGGCCGGCAGGCCTTCTTGGTAAAGGGAATAGGCCAATGAAACCACCTCTGATTCTGTGGTAGAACGAGATGTGGATGTTTGGCGTTTACTAACCCACGCAAGAGGGAAGAAGGAGTTAGGCCCATATAGAACTAAATACCCACCGGATGTGGATTTCCCACTAAGACGATCACCGGCGAAGTCGGCGTCTACGTATAAACGTAGCTCAAGATCTTCTGGATTATCTTTAATGGTACCTACGAGCCGGTACTGGGATGTAGAGTCTATGTATTGGATGAGTCTTAACAACCTTTTATCGTCCCCCCTGGACCAAGACTGCACTTTAGTGGCTAAATCGTTGATGGGTTTTATTATGTCAGGTCTGGATAGCCGACCAAGCCACAACGCCTTCATAAGAATGCGGCATGCATTTGGTGCCAGTTCACCTTTAGCCTCTTCATCTTCAACAGAGACAGAACCGTCAGGTACAAAAGGAGTGGCAGCATGCTTCAAACTTTTGGTGTTGGTGATGGACTTATAAAGGTCAACTGTTTGGTGTGCATAATCTAGCATGTCAAAGACTAAGGCTTCTTGCGCGCGAAACGCAGCGCATTCCTCGGAACCCTCGGTTTTGGACAATGGCATTACTAGATGATTGCGACCTAGAATTCGATATATTGGTTCAGGTGGTTCTATATCCACAACGGATGTCAGCTTCGCCCGAAAGGCATCATGTTGGTCAGTGGGACCAGCAAGTGTGAGATCATCTACATAGGTGGAAAGTAACAACTTAGTATCTGGGAAAAAGAAGTTACCAGGGTACTCGGGTACCTCTTGGCCACCTAGGTTGCGGATAATTTTCTTAAGGTGTTGCTCCCAAAGACCACCGGCATCAGGATGGCCGTATAAGGCTTTAACTAGGAGGACTACGGGTTTAACAAACTTATCACGCCAGTGTTTTGGCCTTAGCTCAGGCGGAAGTTCTATCCATGTCTTATATTTGGGAGTCGGCAGGCTCTCGCTTTTCTGTGCTGGACCGAAGGTTGTCTAAACCTTTTGCTGTCATTCCTCTGTGACAGCTAAAGGAACCAAACTTAAACACAAGCCGAATGGAACGGCTGGTCTTCGAAGACTGCTCAAGCACCCCAATTGGTATGGGTCAACATGCTGAGACAGCTTCATGAGCCGGCCAAACCAACTGGTATGGTTCTGGACCGCTCTTCCAAAGGCAAACTCCTACCTGCCTCCACCCTCTGCAGCGCCAATTGGCCAGCATAGGGGAAGGGCGGGTGGGCCCAGCTTTTGAGCCTAAAGCAACAACATCACAGAAACTCAAACCACCTCTTCCCAACCGTCGTTTCGACAGTCAGGGAGTCGGCAGGCTCTCGCTTTTCTGTGCTGGACCGAAGGTTGTCTAAACCTTTTGCTGTCATTCCTCTGTGACAGCTAAAGGAACCAAACTTAAACACAAGCCGAATGGAACGGCTGGTCTTCGAAGACTGCTCAAGCACCCCAATTGGTATGGGTCAACATGCTGAGACAGCTTCATGAGCCGGCCAAACCAACTGGTATGGTTCTGGACCGCTCTTCCAAAGGCAAACTCCTACCTGCCTCCACCCTCTGCAGCGCCAATTGGCCAGCATAGGGGAAGGGCTTTCCACGGCCCCTTTGTCATGGCCTGCAGGCCTCAGGGCCTGAAGGCCGTATCAGGGGTCTGAGCGGCCCAGTGCTTTATTTCCTTTTGCACCGCCGGAGAAGTGCGCAGGACGGAATCTGCGCCAGACCGTCCTGTAAATAGAGACGGGCAACATTGAGGCTCCTCCAGCGTCCTCGCACGAGAATTGTCTCGAGCGGGAGGCCAATTTGAAGTAAATACGTCGCTCCTCCTCTTCGAAGCGAGTAGGGTTTGAATCCTAGGGATGGCACCCGAAAGAAGTCGCACAGCTTGCGAAATGCTGTGCGAAAAGACTGCCCAGAATGCGGCCAGAGCAGATCTCCGGGATAGGGACGCCGCACGGACACAAGGGTATCCAGCAGCTGAAGCGTGAGCGAATCCCTAACGGCCACAGCTTCCTGGGCGCCGGTGCGCAACCCTGTCTTGGATTGGTGTAGAGACACCACCCCACAGTCGCGACTGAATTCAATGTCTCCAAAACGGAGGGCCAGGAGCTCACCTGTTCGCAGCAGAGCATGAAACCCCAGGGCTATCAGCGCGGCCACCGCCACATCGCCGGCACAGACTGCCTTGGCAACGAAGGCTTGGGCCAGTTGTACTGTAAGCGGCGGGGCGCGCACGGGCGATTCAACCCGGCGCCAGTTTTTAAACATCCGCCAAGCCTCTCGCAAGCGTCCGCGGATTTCTGGCCAGAAGAAATGGAGGCCAGAAAGGGTGTCCCCAATGACCCCCAAACTTTCACCGCGTGACCATTGCCACTCAATCCAATCGCAGAGCACCCCATCCAGGTCTGCCAGCGACAGCTGAGCTTCGAGGTGGGGCAGAAGCAAGCCGACTGCCGCCTCATTAGCGCGCGCGGGTTTTGTTGGTAATGGAATAATCCCTGAGCCGGATGCCAGCCCGACGCCGTTTGCGATCAGCTCGGGTGCGGCCAGCCAGCAGAATGCGGGGGATAGACCCCGGCATTATGCGCGGCTGCCACGGTCCGTAGGATTTTCCAGGCTGGTCACATGGCCATGCAGAACACTAACCCCGGCAAACAGCTGCAGGGCCCCGATCCTTTTGGACAGGGGTTGGAGCAAACGGCTGGAGGTTCTCCCTTTTGCTAATATGTAGAGACATACCATGCTATCCTCCAAGTGCAGCCAGCGCTTGTTTAGCCGAGATACATCGCGCAGCTTCCAGAGCAACGTGAGGAGGATCATCTTCATCTCCAAATAGTTAATATGGGATGGGGCTATCCACCGCACCTTGAAGAGGTTCTTCCATTGCCACCACCACGCTCTCAACGATCCATGGGCACCTCTGCGACTCATGGGCTCACCTGTCAGCAGTCGCACATCTGATCCCGTCTGATTGACCTGCAGGCCCAGGTGCCGCACCAAGATATCGGGGTTAAAGCGGGGCGTGGGATCAGGCCCATACGCTAACCAGCGCGTCAGCGGAACTGCCTCGCACGGATGGGCAGAAGCTCCTGGTGCCAGCCCCATGCGGTTGATAATGTGTGAGGGTTTCATCCGTGGCAGCCACTCCGCACACATCGCCGCCCCCATTATTGCAAAGGAGGGGATTGCAAAGGAGTCGCCGCACTGGCTTTTCCTGCAATCCTCATAGGCTGTCCAGCTCGCTTTTGCCGCGGATGCGGACTTGCAGCTGGCCGTGTGGCCTGGTCCCAGCCCTAGGAGCAGCTCCCGCTCAGAAGCGTCGAGCAGCCGCGGAGGCGCCGTATCATGTACCAACAAGAACTTAGCTTGGTACTGATACGGGGGGAAGCGGAACTGATCCGCCTCCCACCGGCCTCGAGCCTCCGCATCGGTCTTAGCCAGACCAGCGGGGAACGGCGGCGGAGCTCTCCTGGGGATGCTCTTCATGAAGGTTGGGAACTTTCCCGGCAGCGCAGTACCACCGGGCCAGCGCCACCCAGGCCGAATCCATTGGTGATCCTCCAGCGTGCCCGCATGGACATACGCTCGGATGTAGTCACCTTCTTGCCAGAGCGTCAAGTCCTCCATGGCGTAGAGCTCCTCCGAGCACCAGGCCGCCCATACGGCAAGGTATCGGCCGGGTCCAACTTGATGGGCTGGATATCCAACTCCGCACTGATCTCCCTGCGGGCAGCTTCATCCATTGAGGCTACATTCTCAATGCAGCATTTCACGCGAGCGGTGACACCGAACACCTCGCGGATCCACCCAAGCACGGTCAGCAGTTTCCAAAAGAGATTGGATCCCTGACCAGCTAGGTTTTGCCTGAACGCGCGGACTCGAGAGAGGTGTACGCATGGGAAGCCTCCCCACACGTGCACTTCCTCGGCTCGTCCATACCTGTTTGCCCAAGCCCGCACGTCGTCCTTGGTCAGCAAGTTGACATCCAAATACTCTTCAACATCGGGCCAAGCGGTTCTAGTCACTCGGGACGCCTCTTTGTTGATTTCCACGGCTATCTTTCCCAGGGGACGGACACCCAGGATGTCATATATGCGGAACGCGCCGCCGACCCCGTTGAAGAGTGATACCACCAATATAGGGCAAAGGATGGGCTGCCGGCCTCTGTTTTGGAGAGCATTGGTCAGCGAGTGGCCTGACCAGCTCAATCCAGCACTACGGGCTGCGGCGCCCCCAGTTTCCGACGCGTCGGAGCAGGTGACCATGTCGTCATACTCGCACCGCATGTCGGTCTGGATGACCGGGCCTAAGCACATCAGCATCTGAAGCTCCTTCAGCATCAAGTTGACCTTCGATTTGGACGCCCAGGGTGTCTCAATAGTTTCCCAGGAGTGCGACAGCACCGCCATTGCCGCCCTCCGGAATTGCAAGATGAACACCCAGCGTCCCAGGATGATTTGGGCGTCCTTCACGCTGCCTCCATGTTTCTGCAGCACGTGCACCGTGGCCAGCGCAGTCTTAAACAGTCTCTCGGGGGACGCACCCAACAACCCGAGACGACCGTCGAGGCGTATGCCCAGTTCCACCGCGGTAACAGCCGAGATGACCTGCTTGTCATCAGCTGTCAATACGCCCGTAGCGTGCCACGCAGACATGGCTTTGCCCTGCAGGGACGCATCCAGTCCCTCATAGGTGCTCTTGCTGCATTCCGCCGACATGAAGTTGTCCAAGTATACCTGCCACCAAGCACGAGCCTCGCTGGCCTCAGCTATGGTCTTGGTGAACCATACGGGAGCCGGAGTCCCTTTATGGAGCTCCAGCTCACCTGGTAGGCCTTGGGTCAATAGGATCTCTCGGCTGAGCTGCTGCATGATGCCCACGCTGGAGCTCCATCCCATGGGCAGCACCCTACAGCACGGCCTGTAAAACTGGCCAGCTGTTTTCCTGATGCGCTCACCTTCCACCTTGTAGTTGAAGCAGAAGAAGGGTTGCCAAGCCGCGGGGACCGAGTACAGGTAGAATGCCGCCGCCATGTCACCCTGTGAAACCCGCAGCTCTTCCCCCTCGCTGACGACCAGGGGTATCCACGACGTCCCATTGGGCAGCAGCTGGACGTCACCATGTATTACCTCAAACAGCCGGTTTGCAGGGACTAAGTTCATTATGACCCTCAACACAGGACGCCCAGCCGGGGTAGACTTACCTTGTTTTACCACCCCGAACAAACCGTTCAAACACTCCCCCGTCTCGTCTCGAAAAACCTCGGACTCCGGGAGCCAGGTAATAACACCCCGCTCTTCAAGGAGTTCAAACACTTCCATTTCGGCTCCTTTTTCGATGTGTACCTTGGCTTGCATGGGGCCAGTATTCCTTTCCCGCAGCGGCAAAAGGCTTTCCAGCGGGTTTTCCATCAAGTGTTTAGTCCTCCCCCGGAGAAACCGAGTCACAGGAATGCTACCTCCATGCCCCCTGGGGGGCAAACTCTGTTGTATCTGTTCTGCTGTAAGACAGATGGGTCGCGAGACCTCTTCTCCTGTGTAGCTGACCTTCTTTTCCTTCAGGTCAGCTACAACCTGTTCAAAAGTAAAATCCCTGCTACCTTCACCTAACAAAAACCGCTTGACCTTGTCCCTCAAGTTTCGAAGGGCCGCCGCATGAACTTTTCCGGGCCGACGCTCAGTCAGGTGCGCCGAACAGCCATACAAATTGTTGAGGGCTACAGCTGTACATGCCACCCAACATTCCACAGAAAAATCTAAACTACTGGACGCGTAGTTGTCGCGCCAGGTCCGGGAGAATTCACTGGGCCAGGCTACCGGCAGGGGAAACAACTCGCCCGAATGGGCCTTTCGGCCGGCAAGCTGTTGGGGTCCAGCACTCGGAAGGGAAAGCAGGGAAAAGCCTTCACGGACGCCCCATGCCAGTAGTATTCCAAACTGCTTCAAATTGTCTACCTGGCCCAAGTTAAAAAGCCACCCCTCATAATCAGCCGCCGCCTGAGGTAAGTTCACCTCAGCGGCCACTGCTTCTGTAAGCGTGCAACTCGAATTGCCTTCAAACCTACCATAGTCAGCCATTGCCCGAGGCGAGATTGCCTCAGCAACCGCCGTCGCTGTAAACGTGCAATTTGAATTACCATCATGTTCCGCGCACGGCTGCATCGAGCCAGCGCGACGATCCTTGCTAGAGGCGTCACAACCCGCCTCAGCACTAATGCGGCCGCCATCCACTGCTTGCTCGCCCTCAGCCGAGTCGGCAAGCGCCATAGGCGGAGGTCCAATCACGGCGCCCCCTCCGTGGCCTTCTTGCCCTCGCTTGCATCTCCTGGCTGACCCCATTGGGCCCAGTTTTTGCCTCCTTTTCCTTTGGCTTGCCTTTCTTTCCTTTTCCTTTCTGATCCTTTCCTTTCCCCTTTGGCCGTGGGTCGGCGTGCCACTCGCTCACCCAGGTCGTAGCCCGGCTCCAGCTGCCCTTCCCCCCGGCTTTCTCCACTTGCTTGCCATGGCGCTGAGCTGCCAGCAAGATATGGGCCGGGGCCGTCCCCTCCTCCTCGTTGGTCGCTATTTCCAGGTGCCGCGCCACCGGCCAGCCCTGGCGTGTCGCCGTCTCCACTGCAATGAGCCTCGCGGCCAGCAGGTCGGCTAACGCGTCCAACTTTCCTTCCCTCAGGAGGTCTAAGGAGCGGCACAGAAGGGCAAGCTCTTTTGAGTCCCTTCCGTGCGGATCCATGGCCGGGCGCAAGGCCAGTTGGTAATATGTGACCAACTTTGGGCGTTGCACGGGCTCTGCATCGTCTTCCAAAGCGTCCACAACGCCGTCCTTGGCCAAAAACTCGTAGGCTTGAGCCTCCAAGAGCCGTAGAACCGATCCTGGCTCCTTCTGCGAACGCCTCTTGAGAGGCGGCAGCAATGAGCTGCTCTCGCTGGATGAGCTGTAGTCGGTGTCTTCCTCGTCGCTGCTCTTCCTCTTCTTGCGGCGCTTCTTCTTTCTCTTCTTGCTGCTCCTGCTCTTCTCCTTCTTCGCGGCCACCTGCTGTTGCGTCGCGGCCGCTTTGGCCAGCGCAACGCCCACGCTCTTGCGCTTCCTCCGCCGAGAGGCTGACTCCGAGCGGTCCCGACTGGATGTCAGGTCTATGGTCTCCGTCTTCACCTTGTCCCCGTTCGCCGGGCAGAGTGCCAGCGCAACAGATCCTGCCCCTGGCTTCCTCAAGATCCCAGCCCGGCGTCCATCCGGACCGCCAGCGGGTGGCAGTGATGATGGAGGTGGCGCCCCCGGGTTGCCAAAGGTAACGCGCCTTGAGGCGCCCCGCAGAGCATCCAGCCGCTTCTCGGTCAGGCTTGGGGGGGCCGAAGCCCCGTTGTCTGCTGCCACGGATTTGCGGCCTGAGCGGCCTGTTGCCTCCAACTCCAACCGTGGGCCCTCTTTCACCTTTTTCCTCGCATGCGCGGACAGGAAGGGTGCCACGTAGTCGCCCGCCGGGTACCACTTGAACTCGGCAAGATGCCAGCCCGGCTCTGCAGCCAGCTTGCATCGCCCCGTTGAGGTGTGTGTGCAAAGATGTACTTGACGACGATTGCTCTTGAAGTACTTCTGCATATCCTTCTTGACCTCGTCTTGTTCGGCGCCAAGCACCCTGACTTCGAGCCAGATCCCGTCGAGGTCCGACTCGATGGAGAGCACTTGAAGCGCAACCAGGCCTTCGGGTGACGCGCCGTCTTCCCCCAGCGAGGTGAATTCTATCACCGACCCAGCCGGCACATGGCGATGACGCCAAAATGCAGCTTCGGTAAGATTGTACTCCTGCGGAGTGCTCGGCTTTGGGCTCGCGTCGAGGGCGGCTCGCACGCGTTCCGCATATCCAACCTCCCCGGGCAAGGGGGAAGCGCTCCTCTCCTCTTCTTCCAACTCCGCCATTGCTCGTCCGAAAACGGCAATGGGCAATCTCAGTAGCGCCTCGCCAGGCCCTCTTCAAACGAAGGGGCCAGCGTGACCTTGTCCGCGCGAAGCTTGCGATGGCTTCGGCGAAGCGGGTCCTTGATGTCCTTGTGTCGCCGCTGGTGTTTGGTGCCACCTCGGCGCCTCTTCTTGTGTCCTGAATCACGTCCCGAGTGCCTCTTTCGGGGCTTGTCCTCACCCTGGTGGTCGCGGGCCTTGCGATCCGTCCGGCTGCTATGCGGCCTCGAAGGCGGCGGGCCCTCCGGTTCTGGGGGCCTTTCCGAGCCCCAGTCCTCACGCTTGACCTCTGTGATAGGCGCCTCCACGCGCTCTTCTTCCTCCTCGTCCTCGTCAAAGTCGGACTCCTCGCTCTCCGGTGGGGACGCACTCCCTCGCTCAGCGTTAGCCGCACGAGCGGGTGACCTAGGGATGGCTGGTCGCGTGTCCCTCCTGGGTGACCGCGAACTGCGAGGGCGTCCCCCGCGGGACTTGGCAGTGGCCGCCGGTGCACGCGACTCCTGTCCAGCACCGGTGGTGGCCAGGGAGTGGTCGAGGTTGCTGAATGCCCTGCAGAGGCGAGCACTCGACAGCAGGGCTTCCTCAGCCACTGCCCTCAGTCCCTGGTTTCGCCACCCCTGTCGCAGCAACCCCAGGCTGTGCTCCAAGGAGGAGCACCCGAGACACCAAGTGTCTCCTTCCTGTGCAAGTCCTTGCTTGCACTTGTTGCACCGAGGGGGCATCCCCACCCTCGATGCCCAGCTTTTGAGCCTAAAGCAACAACATCACAGAAACTCAAACCACCTCTTCCCAACCGTCGTTTCGACAGTCAGGAAGACAGGAGTGCTTGAACGTATGCCTTTACAGCATCAGCTGCGGATGAGCTATTGCCTGGCAGGGAACCGTAAGCTAAACAGGCATTTAAACCTTGGACCGAAGTTGGGTTTGCTCCTAGCTCCTGATACACAGCAGCGGCACCGTGCTCATCCTTCGCACAGTCTCCACGGTAGACTATTCTACCTTTCATCTTCTGAAGATGTTGTGCGAGTTCATAGAATTTACTGGATGGTATGGTCATTAGCTGTCCAAAGTGAACAGAGACTCCGGTGCGCTTTGCTTCTGCACGGACGTCCTCCTTCTCCCTCACCGAGTCAAGCGACCACGTCCCAGCTTTGATGAGTCCGTCGGCTTCAGCCTTGACTGCATCAAGTGCTTGTGGGTTTGACAACATCTCCGCTCTGGAGAGCAGCTTGGTTACCATGGCTTGAACCTCTTGGGAGGGTTCATTGCTATCTTCGTGCCCGAAGGCCTGTGACAACAAACGCTCATGGTCAAGAAGCTCCGACACTAAACAGTTTACTGTTGGATCTGTTTCAATGGCAACTGCAAGATCCTCAAAACCAGCTAGTGGGGAAACGTGTTTAAGATGTTGTTCAACTTCGCGATGCTCTTGGGGTTCGGTTGAAAGGGGAGTGCATGGCATAGCGGGAGCATGCTGCTGAGAACACTTAGCAGGGTACAGCGCTTGGGTGATCAAAAATGTCATCTCTGGGGGATACATAGCTGATCGCGCTGTCTCCGAACCTTCACACTTTTCATGTGGTTGTTCACAACTGCACTTCTTATCTTTGAAAGAATCTACTATTCTTTGGGAAGTGGTTCGGACTCTCCAAGGCTTTTTGATGGGAACACCCTTCTTGGACTTAAGACCTACTGCACATCCATCGAAATCAACTTCCATAAACTCAGGGTGTGAATTAAAGAAAGCTACGACATCTGGTCTCTTCCAGCCAGTTGAGGGACGTGGCCATTCGAAAGAGACAGTGCCTCCTAGTTTCAAAACTAATTCAGCCCTTTTGGTAAAGCTTTTGAAGAGTCGTTTCGATTCACGAAGTTGGAGCGCTAATCTTTTCATGTAAGCAGCTCCTCCCTTCTTTCTATTAATATACTGCCAAGGAGAACCAGACGTGCATGGTATGGACGACCAAAGGTTAGGCGGTGCAACTTTTGCGGCTTCACCTATTTGATAATCAAGTTGGGAACATTGATTCTCATCACTTAAGTCTATCCTTTCCTTGCATAACCCAATGTGATTTATATTGCGTTGATCACTTGTCAACCCAAGCTGTGAGTTGAGGGAACATGCGAACTCAAACAGTGTTGATCTCTCACTAGGCTTCTGGCTTTTCTTCAAGGCACGTCGTTTTCGACGGTTATTGTTATTCTTAGGAGGCTTATTAATGGCGGGGCATGCAGGCACGGGCTGTGCACCGAACACTGGCAAGGAATCCCTACATAACTCAGCGCAGCTGGGAGCAGTCTGGGGCAAAGTGGCAGCACCAGAGACACTATAAGGAACAGCAATTGTGATTTCACCTTCATCATCAAATACGCTGTCTACCGGTGGTGGTTCCACGCGGGCATCCTCGAGTGCACTAGGAACTTCACTTGGAGGTTCAACAACTACCGACTCTGAGACAGGTTTGGACTTGGCTTCCAGCTCCTTTTCTTCATCTACTAGTTTCTGGAACCGTTTGCGGCACTCTGGGTTATGGTACCGGGTCTTGTTCTTACACCCTGTACAACCGGGAGTTTCCTTAAACTTTATGATGCGGTCTAAGGTGATGTAAACCGATCTAGGTTTGGGACCGGGTGTAGATGGGGAAGCTAAACCGCCGTCTGGTGGAAACGGAACATTTTGCAGGGCTATTTCAGGGAGCTTAACATCATCGGGATCATCCCCCCTGACCAAGGCCTGATGCTTCGAAAAACCAACGGGAAAATAGGCATCACCATCTGGAAGGTATAGTTCAGGCTCGGGTACATCGGAAACACATGAAGCACCTCTAGTTCGAAACTCTTGATAATCTAATATCCGAACAACATATGTATAAAGAAAACCAGATTCGATTCGCCAACCAAGAAACAAACCAGGAGCCATATTGGGTTCTAAGGTCCTTTTTGTTGGATGCTTCTTGCGATAATACACAAGTTGACCAAAACACAAACGCTTACCATCAAACTTTTCACGTGTAAGAGCTTCCCATTGGGTCTTTTCGGGGTCCGCAATAGAAGGTCTATCAAAAGTCATGGAAAGACATGCGTATGGGTAATTATAAGTGTGATACTCATATGGCACACCAGATTGTAAATGAACTACCCTACAGCACTCTTTCTCTTCCCGGATGTCACGCTCTAGGAGAGCGTTATGCGGCCAACGGTTGGGAAGGGACGTCTCAGGAATGAAGCCGACCTGATGGGCAGCCTGCTCCAACTCCTGTGCTTCGTCCATTTTGATAAGTGTGTGGGTGGCAAGTTCGTTGGCTTTCAATCCCACGAAATGTCGAAAGTTTTTGGCATGGGATTCAACATCTCGCTTTGATAGGGGATATGCTATTCGTGCACCAGAATAAAGGTCCCTTACCACATGATGTGTCTTAACACCACCTATCCCCGTACCAAAATGCTCAGACCCTTTTGCAAGGATAACATCATCAGTGGCCAACTGCTCAAAGGGCTGCTTTGGTGGGTCAATCTTATCATCGGACTTACCATCCTTAACATGAGAGACACGCATTGCAGTATCTTTAGCAATATGGCATAATGGGCAATATGGATTTTTGGGGTAGTGAGTCAAAAGATGCTCTAAGCTAGTGGCTTCCTTTTTCAAGACTTCATCTTTGATTGGGATACCATCACCTAACTCAACAAGCAACTTATCATCTAAAGGGTGCGGTGGTGCGCTAGGAGCAGCACCTTCCAGAACACTTGCATGTGGGCTGCTGGATGCAGCTGCTTCTTCGTCTGAAGGATCGGCCTCAGCAACCTCAGCCAATCGCGCAACGTCTTCACCTGCAAAGCTTGGTGAATACCCAGAAACGTTATCCGGCACGGGATCGGCCGGAAGAGCTGTTGAAACTGGGGTTAACCTTTCTGCTGGAACAAAGTTACGCGGACTAAGTTGTTCATCGTATTGGGGAACGTATTCAACAACACGTGAGGCACAAATCCTAGCATTGCGGGGAACCTTAAGTTTGCATCTATTGATGTTCTCAGGTGCAATTAGATATGGAACATTTTCTCGGGGATCCCAAACGAACATATAACCTTTATCCATCACAGTCTTGCCAATACTCTGAGCTGGGGGACAATCTTTCAAGACATAAACCTCTTCCCCTTCTAAGATTTTGCTGCCGTCAAAAGCGATGGACTCTTGACCAGCCTGGCTACCCCCCCCTGTCGCGAAAGCTACTGGGTTTGGAGATTGCTGCAAAAACTCTTTCATTTTTGGGGTTAAGGCTTGTGTGCCAATTAGATGCCTACCGGCTGCAGTGTCCCAAAGCCACGGGATTGCTCCGTTAAGCTTGGAAGGCATAGCGTCGACAATGGGCACAGCCGCTGTGCCAGCAGCTATAGTGGCCATACTGCCAGGAACGCTAGTTGTAGACTTAGATTTAGATAATGCTCGGGGTGGGGGCCCCTTATACTTTTCGGTGGCAGAATGTAAGAAGGCGCACTGCTTCGCCTTGCAGGCGCTGTAGGCGTAGAACATGCATGGCGTTCTAGCCTTCTGGGCCGGGGTCATATTGGCGACCCTTGAGGCCTCCGCACTCCTGGGAGTGGTTGCGCCTGACTTTGGTGGTGGTGAAGTAGTGGTAGTGCCCTTGGCTTTGGCCTTTGGTTTGGCCTTAGCTTTAGCATGAGGCGCTGGAGCAGCCAGCCTCTACCTTCTTACCTTTGTCTGCCTTAGATTTTGGGTTTGCATTTTTGGGAGCGGGGGCTCCAGGCACACCAGCCTTAGGATTACCTTTTGGGGCAGCCTTAGGATCAGAGGTGGCAGGGGCTCCTGCTGCTTTTGTTGTGTATGTACCAAGATATCCCTCCGCAGGCTTGAGCTTAAGCTGTTTATCAAACTCAATACGATTCTTGCGTTGTTGGTCAAGTTGGAGAACTAACTCTACCTTTTCCCACAACCAATTGGTCGATCTGCGGTGGCTGGTGAGTGGGGCTTCTCGAGCTTTCAACACTTTGGCAGCCATTATAGGGGTACGCTCGAGCTCATCAATTAAATGGTTGAAAAGAGTTTGCTCTCGCGGTAAATCTTGGATTGGAATGGTTGACATCACATAAATATATTTGTCTCTGAAGGCCTCTAGATCTTGGTGGGTGTTCCCTGGGATGCGAAGCGATAACAAGTTGCGTTCACCCAACATGCCAATTCTATCGCGTTCCAGTTGGAAGTAGTGAAAGATCTTTTGGAGCATTACACGTCCACACGGCATAGAGCCGGAGGAGAGGCGCTCAGATTCAACCATTTGCTGAAATATTAAGCCAAATCGACCCCGTCTGCAAGTTTTGATTAGCTTAGAGGCGATCTCTCGATCCGTGCGTGGGAAGCGTGGATCGGTTTTTAGCTGATTTTCAGTGGATGTCATGCATTCTTGGGCCCATTGGTAAACTTCGTTACCTGGGGTTTTCTGTAGCTTACCGATAGCCATAAGGACCTGATTAACGTATCCTCTAGCCTGACCGGCATTATCAGGAGGGTTAGGAAAACCCAAATCATTGAGGGATTTAACTCTAATGGTATTATCCTCCTCCTCTGCATAGTCTCTAATTTCAGCATCACCGGGACGGGGTTGATCAGACCCGTGGTCCGGAATGTCTCCCCCCATGTTCATAGTTAAGTACGGGCAGTTAATTTCATCATGAAATTCTCCACAAATCCTACATTGAGTATATGGATTTGGTGGGGGTGGCCCAGCATCAGAATCTGATGAGGACTCGGAACTACCCGACTGCTTAGAACGTTGGGACCCAGAGTTATAAACATATGGACTCCCTTGGGGTAAAACACCAGCTTTACTTAGAGGCAACGGCGGCAGGCCCGGTGGCAACACCTGTTGTGGCAAAGGCGCGACGGGGTTCAGAGCTCTTGAACCGCTTGGTGCGCTCAAAGCAGCACCTCCCATGGCCAAAGCTTGAGGGGTGCTAGGTGGTGGAGCTATAGGCATTGGTGCTTTCGCCGCTTGCAGTTGAGCTACAAGTTGTGTCTGTGTGTGCAACGCTTGCATAAGT